GCCCAGAGCAGAGCTCAGCCCCTGCCCCTCTGCCTCCCCTCGGGAGGAGCTGCAGCCCCCGAGGAGTCTCCCCTCAGTCTCCTCTGCTCCAGCTGAACGAGCCGAGTGCCCTCAGCTGCTCCTCAGAGCTTCCCCAGCTCCGTGTCCCTCCTTTGGACACTCTCCATCAGCTTTAAATCCTTCTGACAGTGTGGTGGCCCCACAACTCGAGGTGAATGCACCAGCCTGGTTCTGCTCCCCCTATTCAGTGTCATACCTCAGCTCCACCCTTACGAGTGACAGCCCAGCAGGAGCAGGGTCTGACCTGTCAGATCCTCGGCTCTCAGGCTCCCTGAGCGGTTCAGAGTAAAGCTGGTCTTGGCAGCAAGCTTCCCTCCCAGCACAGCTTCGTGGGACACCACCTTCTTGTTGCTTGTCTCTGCAAGAAGGGAACAGAGTCAGGTACCCAGTGGGACACTACACATGGGCAAGAGGAGAACTGTGTTTATCCCCTTGAAACCTTGTTTTGCTCCAGAAATGGATTCTTTGTGCCACATGCTGGCCCAGTATTTCCATTCCAGCACCAGAGACAGTTTTCCAGTCACACTGTCAGCCCACTGCAATTTTAAGGGCAGCAAGGACACTTTTACAGTTCTGCTAGAAACTTGTAGCTCTCCCTGCTCACTCTGCACAGCAAACCCTTCAACTGACCAAAAGCAAGAGATGAGCCAGCACAGAAACAACTTGACCCTTTATGTGCTGTGTGAGGGCATCACCCACTCCCAGGGAACAGCTTTGATTCTGGGGCCCTGCAGACCAACCTCCCACACAGGATCTTTCAACTTCTTTCAGAAAGGAGCTTCAGAGCTCTAGAATATGCTCAGCACATCAGATAATGGCAAGAGGGGCTTTTTACTAATCATTAACTGGCAGCCCTCTCCTAAAGGCCAGCCTCCAAGTTCAGCTGCTCTGCCTAATGGCCAGGAACGTAATGAAGACAGAGGAGAGAAAAGGGAAGAGACCAGAGAAAAAAAAATTCACAAGAACAGCACAAATTGATTGTTTAATGTACCCTCTCGAGAGCCAATAATGAAATGTCTTAACCCTCTTCGTTTCTCTCTTGAAGCTTAATGTGTGTAACAGATTTCTGTGGTGATGGACGAGTCTATCACTTTGAAGGCATCATGTGAAAGTTACTCCATTAGCAGGGCTTTTCATTTGAAAGAACTTGTGCTAAAAAAAAAACCCACCCGTGTGGCATTATCTCCATTTAGGCTGAGAAAGCCAACAAAGCATTGCAGGACCTGCCTCTTGAAGGCCCATTAAAGCTTGCCAGGCTATAAAAAGCTAAACTGGAGCTGTTTGCCTTTCAGCATAATGCTGCTGAGAAATGGGTTCTGGCTTTCCAAACAAGTTTCTCTGTGCTTTGTAATGCCAGCAGGGCTCCAGCTGTTCAAGTGCAAGGTACCTACTGTTGGTGCTGCTCGGGGAGTTGGGCACGAGGCTGCGCAGCTTCTTCAGGGTGTTCACGGCCACGTTCAGGTAAATGTTGCGACTGGTGCTGCGCTCATAGGCCACCTTCTCCTCTGCCAGGGCCTGGGAACAGCACAAATCATCACCACACACCCTCCTCCCACTGCTCACAGAACCCCAGAATGATCTGGGTGGGAGGAACCTCCAAGATCACTTTTTTCCACTTTCTGTTATCCCACGCTGTTCCAAGCCCCATCCAACCCAGCATTGCACACTTCCAGCCACAGCTTCCATTGCTTTTGGAGAAAATAAATGTTTGGCTCTTAAAATACAGACTCCAAGTAGGACCTCCCACCCAAAAAAAAAATAAAATTGCCTGACAAGGAACTGAGTAATAAAGTAGAAATGGCACAAATATGTACTTGGTATATATACTAATATATGTACGATGTGGGGTCTTGCTCAGGTAAGTAAGAGAAAAAAAGGTAATTTTATTTTTAACAAAGTGCTGGAAAAAGAACTTTCGTGTGAAACTTTCCCAAAGAGACTAATAAAAATTTCCTAATTAGCAAAAAGTTATTTTCTTCAAACTTTAACATATTTTAAACTGGTGTCATCCCTTCTCTTCTCCCCAGTACAAAGTCTGCTGCCACTTTGGCTTAAGGATTCCAGAGCTGCTCTTGTTCCCAGGAAGATCTAACCCTACCATGTTTTCATCAAGTAATTCTTGACTCCTGTTCTTAGAACTGCCTGGGAAAGGCTGCTTTCCCCATTTTGGTGCAGTGCAAGATATTAACTGGTAAGAAAAGGAGGTTTGGCAAATGGTGACTCCTTGGATGCAACAGGAAGTTGGGAAGGTGCAATCCCACAAAAGAAATCCTCGTGGTGTCTCCTCTGGATTGGAATACACCACACAATGTCCCACATTTACCCAATTAATGGCCAAGCTTTTCCAATAAAATGCATTACCTTCTCAATTCTGCTTTTGGAAATCCTACTATACTGTCCTTACTGCTAGAAGGCTCCTTAAAAATCTCCTTTAAAGCCTTCAGAAGCAGCAAGGAACCAATTCCCAATCAATTACATCTACCCCAAACACTTCCCTGTGCTCAACACTTTGATTCCAGGAGGTATTTTTGGCTGCACCAGAGCAAAAGGTCTTTGACCACAATGCACATTCCTCTCCTGGGGTTATTAAAGGGAGCAGGCAAGCTTTCCAAATGAAGGGAAAGATGGGATTTCCTTCTGGAAGCCCTCACTGGAATGACACTTTCTGATGCCCAGTCTGGTAAGATTTAATGCCAGTTTCCTCAACTGAACTGTTGGTGGATAGGGGAGTGTTCATGGAATAAGGGTTTGACTTGGAAGGGACCTTAAAGTTCATCCAGGTCCCACCCTCAAATTTTTGCAAGCATAAATCCAATCCAGTTTTCTGGATTTGCTACCATTTTAGAAAGTCTTGGCCAAGGCAGAGGATGTCATTCCCTGCTGAAAACTTTATTCCTGAGAAGCAGGATCTGTACAGACCTTGTCGAAGGCTTCCTGGGAGGAGGAGCAGAATTTCAGGCACTCATCAATGAAGAGATTGAGATACCTCTGACGAATGTTGGTTGGGACTTTAGCACCAAATTCTGTGGGAATAACAGGCCTCTGTAAAGTGGTGCTCTGGAGGTGAGACAGAGAGAGAGAAAGAGGCTGGTCAGGCTCTAGGAGGCTGCTCTGAGGCTCTCCCACTTCCTGTTACTAATCATGGGGTGACTTCCTTTCTGAAAATCTGCCCAAAGCCAAACTTAACACGCAGCACTTTTGGTACTAAAAATACCACTTGAGGCTTCACCACCTTCAGTGCTGGAAGTCCTTTAGAAAACAGCTGTATTTCACTCTGAAGTCAGCCAGGAGCAAGGACTCCAGGGGCATTAGTCACACACAGGCATTCCAGAGCAGGGCATGCTGACATTCCCAGTGACAGATGCAAGGTCAGGATGGCACCAAGCACCACAGGGGCCATGAACACACAGCACCAGTTAGGGGCACCACAGACAGGTTTGGTTCTCTGGCTTTGAAGAGAGAACAGGAGGTCCCTCCTGCCAGGCTGGCAGTAACTTAACCCATCCCACTGCCTGGGGAATTCCTGCAAATTGGGGGTTTTCTTCCTTTTTTAATGCCAATCGTGATGTTCCTAAAAGGATTTACCTCTTCAATTTAATGGCATGTTCTTCAAATCCTGCATGTTGGACCAAGCTATGACCCAGCCCTGCAGTTTTCCATTTCACACCAGTTTATTCCCCACATCACAGCACACTTGCCTCTTTTTCAGATAGGAAAATGGACATTCATCTCTAAAACAGCCAATTGTTTTGTCAGTTGTTCTCCATCCCACCCAAGAGATATCCATAAACCAAACCATCTGCTACAATCTGCAATAAAAACAGCTCTGTGGAAGATGTGAGCTTGTTCCAAGGGGAGCAACTGGTCCTGTCTCAATGGGAAAAGTGCTCATTTTTCCTTTGATGCCTGTTCAAGGAGATTTGATCCTTTTCATTAAATATATAAACTCTCAATCTCTAATCTGATACCCTTAAGCACCTCTGTAACTCTGCTAAATATTTTATCCTTTCAGTTATTTCTCTTATTTTTAATCAGCTTCAAGTTCTATGTTACTATGGTGGCACTTTGGGTGGGAACAGAAAAAATTACTTTTCACTCTTCTAGAAATAATCAGAGCAAGTTATGACAGATCTTGACACAAAATAACCATCAATAAAGGAATTTTCAATCAAGTCCTGGCACTAACTACGTTCTGCCATCCACTCCAGCAAACAGTTCCTTATGCCATCCCCAGAAGAAATTCTGCTCTGAATTGTCTTAGCAAGTGACAGCTTCCCAATGCTCATGGAAAGGAGGGACTTAACAGAATCATGGGATGGTTTGGGTGGGAAGGGGCTTTAAAAATCATCCCATTCCCAGCCCGTGTCATGGGTAGGGACACCTTCCATTATCCCAGGTTCCTCCAAGCCCCAGTGTCCAACCTGGCCTGGGACACTTCCAAGTATCCAGGGGCTGCTCTGGGCACCCTGTGCCAGGGCCTCCTCACCTTCACAGAGTACAATTCCTTCCCAATATCCCATCTAACCCTGCCCTGTGGCAGTGGGAAGCCATTTCCCTTGTCCTGTCACTTTGGTAAGGAACTCACAGCAAAGGTACCCAAAGGCTGGGCAGAGACCCCAGGGAGTAAAGAGAAACAAAACAAAAACCACTAACAAAGACAAAATAGTCTTTTCTTTGAACACCAGCAGCAGCATGAAGTTCAGTGCTCACATTTTACTGTCTAGGTCACAGAGGGACATTATTCATAACCATCTGTCTCAGTGTGGCCCACAGAGCCTGGGAAAGCCATGAATCCACCCCTGGCTTTTGAGCACGGGAGGTTCCAACCCCCTGGCTCAAACATAGCCAGGCCAGTCAGCACAAGCGAAGGCTCAAACTGGAGACAAGTGATCAATATTCACAGAGATCAGAGCAGCACTTAAGTATTTCTACCCTTTTAAGCTCCTACCCCTTGAGTGTTTAATTTTTTATACAATGCTATCTAGGAAAACCACAGGAAGAAACAAACCCACTTAATCAACATAATCAAAACACCACTTTCAGCGAGTGCTAAGTTTGGAACAGCAGGATCAAACATTCCACCCTCCTCAGGGAATGACAGGAAAGAATTCAAATTCCCCTTACCTGTAAGGAGGGAACATGTGCTACCCTTTTGGGCACGATGGTGCTGGTGGTCTTGGAAGCCATCCCAGCCAAGGTGCAAGGCTTCAGAGGAAGGGTGGGGGCTTCAGAGTCATTGGAAGGTGTGACACTCCTGCCACCAACAGTCCCCTTACTGCTCCCGAGGCCTGCAGGGAACACAAAACACTCAGCTGCAAATCCTGCCACTGGGCTGCCAGAATGAACTCACTATCAAAGGCCAGTGCTGCAAGCTGTGATTTTCTCAAATCCAGGTCTCCAAAGGGATACAAATTGGGCAATTTTACCACCTTGCAGGCAAGGATGAGGAAATCTTCTGCCAGGAAACGTGTCTCATTTGGGTTTGTTTTGGGGTGACTTAGTCAGCAGAGTTTAAAGAGGTAACTCAGCTGACAAGTCAGCTCTGAGTCCTTCCACTACAAAGGGACAGCAATGAGCATTCATTAGCACTTCCCTCCTGCCCCTGCCACCTCTGAAGGTTTAAATGGAAGAGGAAATGAAGAGAAAACACAATCCAAGGAAGAAACAAAAAAAGGAAAGGCTGAAGTGAGGGAGGCTGGGTGAGAGAGATGAGGCTGTACACGTCTGACCTGTTGCTTTTCAGAACAGGGTGGATTTTCTCAGGGAAAGACCCACTGGACACTGTCAGCAAAGATTCAAGTCATGGCCAGTCCTACACATCCCCTGACAGTTTCACACGTGCTCCAGAGAAATGCAAACACACGGCAGTGCCTTTGCCCAGGAGGAGGACAGGACAGCGATCCCAAATCCTTACTTTGCTTGGCTGCTGCGGTGAGGGCTGCATTTGGCACGTGAGCAATCCTCCTCTTTTCTCCTGGCAAACAGAGAGAGGTCTTTTGAACAGTCCCAGCCAGCTGTGCTGCCTGCTGCTGAGCCAGCTGGATCCTCTGGTAACACACCTCCTGGGCCGTGGGGGGACGGTACGGCCGCACTACCGGCTTGCTCGGAGCCTCTGCCTGCACAGACAAAGAACATTCAGTGCCAGCAGCTCCATCCACACCCCCTGCCTTCACTCACCACAGAAATCTCTTCTCCTCAACCCCTCCGTTAGCAAGCACAGGGTTTTGAGAGGACAAGATCCCAACTGTTTTCCAGAACAAAATAATTAAGAGTCATCCTTCAACAAACACAGCACTCATGATTCACGCTCTGGGAAGGCCTCCCAGCTCACTGGCACGTTCCTCAATTGGCAGGTGTATTAATGAACTGCTTTTAGTGGTGTGATGTTCCCCATGGCTGTGCCCAGCCCAGTCCTGGGCCCTATCCACACTCTCAGCCTTGCCCTAGCACACAAACATATCTCTGTGCTGCATACTTTGCTCTCTACAATGCAATGAAAGAGTTGTTTTTTTCTGCCATGAAAAAGTGACAATTCTCCACTCCCCTCTGCCACATGACACTGAGCTCCACTGCTCTCCCTGAGGACCCCCTGCATCTGCACCACAGCAGCTCCCACCTCTCTGCAGCCCTGGAACTGCTTAAAAGCCTTCACAGATTTGTATTTATGGGATCAGAGTATTACATAAACTGAGCTCTGAATTTCAAACAGGCTCTGTCCCCTTCTGGAGGCACCTCACTGCCTCGGCTGTTACAGCACAAACAGGTTCCACACACGTTTCCTTTGATGGCCAAATTTAGGTTTGCAGTTAAAGTGCCAGAAGTGATGTCAGCAAAGAGAGAAGTTTCCTAGCAGCAGAAGTGCAAGAGAAGCAGCAGTAGCACAAACTTCTCCACTCTACTTCAGAGCCTTTGAAATGTGAGGAACAGACGTTCCTTCCTGAAATCTCCTTGGAGGAGGGTGGCCCAGTGTAACACCTGGGGCAAGCTGGCACCTCCTGCATTCCCAGCCTCTGATGCTGACAGCAGCTTCTGGATACCAAACTGAGTGCAGTCAGACATTAAACTATAATTACAGCCTTCCAAGCAGGACAGGCCACTCATTTTCTGCCTCACCTGCAATTCCTTTGGCCCCCCCATTTCCCCTGGCAACCAATCCCAAACTCAGCTCCCTCCCCTTCTCCTGCTCGGTCCTTGAGCTATAAATCATGAGCAAGACTGAGCAAATATTCCACTTGGAGAGACACAGCAAAGCACAGGCCTCAGTCCTGAGGTGAGAAGTGGCAGTTCAGGTGTTACAGCACGTCCTGGGCAGAGCTGGGAGCTGCTCTGAGCTCAGACACTGCAGGGAATGCAGGTTCTGGAGCTGCCCTGGCAGCTGAGCACACCAGATCGGCTCTGTTTGCCCAAGCAAAGGCAGGGCTGGGGCTCCCATCTTTGGAAAGCATTTTGGGATCAGCTGTCACATTAAGAAAATATATTTAAAGATTTGTACATGTCTAAAAGGCGCCTCTTTACAATAAATATTTGAGTTAATGAATTTCCAAGCCATTTGCTTCAGTCTCTTATCTCTTCCCATTGGAAGAAAGGGCCCTTATCAAACCACATGAACGGGCTGGAGATATGTAGTTAAATAAAACCCATTGTATTGACCTCAGGGCTTCAAATTATTAAAGGCAAAAAAACCTTTCCTAGGCAGAGAGGAAAGGCAGAACAATTAATTTGGACTACCCAGTTCAAATTAGTGCACAAGCCTCCACTCTTATCCTGCTGCAACATAAAACTAATCTGTGCTCAGCACCTGGAGGGAAACACATTAAACCCTCAGAGAAAACATGAATTAAAATCCCAGGGAGAAAGGCATAAAAAAATCAGAATGTCTTCCTTGCTATTTTTTTTTTTAATTCTTCTCTTCTGTATTTGCACAACTGGGGAAGAAGAGTATCCAAACAAATACTGCTGAGATCTTGGCTGATTCAGAACAGATGTAAGGTAATGGTTTTAAACATCTGACCAAATTCCTGCAGGATCTTTTAGATCCACAAGGCACAGAAAAACATCAGCAGCCAGAGAGTGACCTTGTGTCCAGTTAATTTTTATTGAAATCACTGAATGAAGCTATACTGGAAAAAAATGAACACCCCAACCTATCCCAAAGGGTTACCAAGAGCACAATCCATTCACTCTTCCCAGCCTACCCTTGGTTTTAGGAAGGTTTATTAGAGCTTTGCTGCCACTCTTAGCAGATCCTAAACATGGGAGTTTTTTCAGAAATTAGAAAGAGAGGAAATGAGACTGCCACAGACTGATTCCAGCACAAACAACTCCCACACTGCTGCCTGGCCCTGGAAGCGCAGCTTTTTCCAGGGTCAGGACAGAAAATCCTCACCTGGATCAACCTAAACATCTGCTTCTAAATCTGCACTTACATTTCCTTGTTTGACAAGATGAGAGATCCTTCTTTTTTGGCCAGGAAACAAGGTAGTTAAATTATCTTCTGTCTTTTCTTCATTTGCTTCCTCTTTGGATGGCTGGAAAACAAAAGAACAGGAGAACAGACTTGAAGATCCCTTGCAAAAGGGAGATTTGGAAAGTCTCCTTTGGGGTTAACCTTGCAGGGGGCAGGTGAGAACACGTGGTCAGCTGCTGGGCCACTGACAAGAACCTTGTTGTGAGCCCAGGAGCCACCAAGGAACAGCAGCAGGACATTCCCACCCCAGCAGCAGCTCCATAAGCTGGCATGGGGCAGGATCAGCCTTACCTGCCACAGGAGCCTTGAACAGCCCTCCCCTGCCTGCCACCCACACACCTCACCTCCCAGGGCATTTCTAGAGTCATGGGGGGCTGGGGTGGTTGGGTTTTTTTAAGAAGTTGGGAACTGACTCATTTCTGCCCTGGGCAGGTGCTGACACCTGCTCAACACCAAACCCCACATTAAGGAAAATGTTTTCTGCAGGTTTATCCACAGCTGTCACTGCAGGAAGACTCTGGTGACACAGCCCAGGTCACATCCAGAAACACAGCAAGAGGCAGAAGCATCTCTTCAGCCAAAGCTACTGCATGGTGACACCTCAGAGCTGCTCCTGGACAATGAGAACCACTTGGAAATCTGCCTGAAATTCGATTCAGTTGTTAATTGATAAAAAAACACTTCATAAGTTTATTTTTCAAAACTCCAGCTGCTCTCCCTCCAGACAATCTCTGAAATTCAGCAAAAGAGCCCAAGGCTGGATTTAGGGATGAGCTCAGGCACCACTTGGGATAAGCCCGTGTTCATCACCACGAGAGCACTCTGGATGAGCACTTCACCCTCAGTCACTTGGCTCCCTGGGAACCCCAGAGTCTGGTCATTCACTTACATCCCTAATAAACTCTCACAGTGCAATTCTCCCAGGTGGAAAAGCACCACACTGCCCACACAACTTCCTGGAATCCCAGAATCCTGGAATATCCTGAGTGGGAAGGGACCCTCAAGGGATGATGAGTGCAGCCCCTGTCCCTGCACAGACCCCCCAA